TATCAATCGACTTAATTTGGTGTTTGTACGATCTAAAGGATCGCATTTCTCTATAAGGAGTATAATCTTCGGGTAAATCGATTATTCCCTGAAAAAGACACTGTTTATAATTTTCAAATATTATATGGTTTTTTACGGCATGATGGGCCACGCCTTTAGCTTTGATAATTTCTTTAGTATTTTGAATAAAACCGTATGCTTTAGATCTTAGAGCAACATGTGCTGAAATAATCTCTCCACCAGTCTCGTCTGTGAAAGTGCCGGGAATCTTGCAACGCTCTGTACGGTAACATGGATGGTTAACTGGATAGTTTGAAGTATCCAGTTTTTCCAAAAACCCTCGATTATGTTCCATATCCTCATAAAAATTTTTTGTTTTCACCAGGTATATCAATGAATCTAAAACATAAGATTTAATTACACAAAAATAAAAATAAACAAATAAAAATGTGAATTTACCAGTGTCCATGTATAGGAGTTCAATGTTTTCTCCATATAACGCTTTCATGGTACCGTAGTGAAAATCATACATTAGAGTTTTAGATATGTCTAAAACGGCAAATCCTATGTACATGGGCTTATCAAAAACTAAATCGTCTTTATGTAAATGTACAGCACACAAGTTGTCACCATATATTGTTGTGCCTTTATGGTTTGGTAAATTGACAAGTTTTCTGTATCTTGCCTCGCTGCTCGTAAGTTCCATTTTCAATCTTAGGCGAACGTTCTCCATCGTTTTACCTAAAATATTATGTATATTTAATTACAAAATAATAATCGTTAAGTATATAATAATAAATATATGAAAAAATAAACGCACCAAACACGGAATTGTTCATAAGTTTGTAAAAATCTTTTTCAAAAGCAATTTTTCGTCATCGCCCTCATCCTTGTATTCAGATAAATGTAACTTACGAGCCAAGGTGATTGATTAAATTCAATAATACGGTGTACTTTTTCTAAAACTAATCCTGCCTTTAACGCTTGCTTTAAAGATTTATAGTGTACAATATATTTTTTTTTATTTTCCAATGTGGCTAAAAGTTTGGGAAATTTAGATCCAGTTGGTATTTTTTTATCAGATAAATATGGTAAATCATTATGATTATCATGCAATTGCGTCGGATAAGAAACATCAACTTCTAATATCATCCCTTTACACGAATCAGCTGGTGTTTCTTCCAATCTCTTTAAAATTACCGGAACACTTAAATTTTTTTCGCTTCATTTAAACCCATCTTTAGGCAAGTATTGCGACATTGCCCATCCATATCTGAAAGTATTATAAAAAAAAAAATAATAATAATTATACATTATAGTAAAACTATAATTATTATTTAAAATTTAAAAAAGAATCAATTTTACTCACAAATTTGTAGCATCGAGATAAACAATCCAGTTATCCGGCTTAGTATCATCATAACCAGGAAGTCCAATGTGATTAGCTTATNCATAACCAGGAAGTCCTATGTGATTAGCTTATGAGTATCTGCGAACTGCAGTTGTTAAACCCCCTCTAATACCCTGCTCTAACATCATAAGCATGTCGTAGTCATTTAAAAGTTTCAAATCGATCTTTGTATGCTTTAACATACAGTCAAAAGACATGCCCGGTGCGGTGTAATAATAATTAGGATCTACGTTCTTAAATATACGTTTTTAAACAGATGTCTCTAAAAGATTCAAATATATCACATAACAACAACACATCCAATTTCAAATACCAGTCACTATATTGCCCCAACGTTGTACATTCAAAATGATCCCAAACTTTTTGCGCGTGTTTATAATCCTCTTTTGTTATATGGCTCTCATTCAGAGAAACTTAAAATTCGTTAATGGATGACAGCGATGTTTCATTTAATTTTTCAAAGGAGTCTGTATACTCGTAGGGGTAAACACCTTTACGAGTAATAAGACCTATATCTGTTTGAGGAAAATGTTTTGCTGTCTCTTTGAATTTTTCAACATCCCCTTTAGCCAAATTTTCGGTTAGTTTGCCAAACTAGATGCCATAAATCTGTTGCTGTCTACAAATCTTATTTTAAAATCTTTAGTAACATACTTTGAAAATAAAATAAATTTTTCTTCGGTGTTAGGTATAACATTTATCGGTTTATCATCATATCCTAGCTATGTTACAATGAAATGACTGTCATAATTTGATAAGTTATGAAAAAAACATGGCACGAATTTAGGAGATTTTAAATTTAAATTACACTCATTACATATTGTCTGTCGATATTTAGAAGTTAAATGATCATGATCACGCACTGGTTGATTGTTTGTAGAGAATTTTTTAGAGCATAAAGGACACGAACCCCGTTTTACTATATCGGAAATGTTACAAGTCAACTGCCAATGACTTTTAAGCATGCTGACGCGAAAAAACATAACGATACCATTTGTCATAAACATATTAATAATTGTAGACTGAAAAATAATGTGAACTTCAATTAACAATCATATTTATGGGCTTTATTTCAAAAATATTTTTTCTAAATGATTAAAACGGACATTAGGATTTGTACTATTTAACATGAGTATAATAAATATTAGATTTAAAGAATTATCAACTCTAAATTCAAGCAAATTGAAAATTATGATTGGTCAAAAAAGTAAAATGTGTTTGGACTTTATTTTTTAGAAAATTTTATATTAGTTCCTTATATTACAATATTTATATTAAAAAACAATTAATTAAAAATGCTCATTGGGAAGTAAATTTTTTTATTTTATTTTCTATATAATTTAAAATGTTATGTATTATATTTCATGAATAAATAAATTAATATGATTATTATGATACTTGAAAAAAACTGTTGTTAGTGTTTCAAGTGCTTTATTAATAAAAAAAATGTATCTTAGTATAGTACCCAGTATTTTATGTTGAATTGAAAATGTATTTTGGATGGGTGGCGTATAGATTAATGCATAGTAAATAAAACATTACTAAATAGACCAAAACATTTTTATTTTTAAACAATAAATTATTATTATTATACATTATTACATTGCATATTGTTTAATCTTTTATGAGATTATGGAGAGATGACATCTATCATTTTTCCAACTATGCCTATTTCTCTGAATGTGTATGTTCAGACAAGACTAATAAAAGCTATGTTTAGCACGTTTCATAATTAAATGTATGAATGAAAAATATAAAAATAAACAATAAAATTCCATTCCTAGACTGGTATTAACATGTTGAAATATTATACCAACTCTTATGTCTATAAGATAATACAAATATTAAAATGAAGCACATTCTTCTTCTACATATCGTAGTGTATAGTTGATATATTTGATTGTTTGTTTTTGATAGTTTTATTTTATTTATTTAACAATGAATCGTAAGACATGTAATATTTGGTATCATTTTACAATAATTGACAATACTACATTTGCAAAATGTAATATTGACTATTGTGGTTTTTGTTTTTACCGATAATACTGTATTTGCCGTATTAGATATTGATGTCTGATAACTGATAAGCGTTGATAACAGAAACATTTTAGACGCTTAACAGCTAATGACGAATGCGCATTATCAATTATCATACATAACACCAAGCCTGCCGCCAAGACGTCGCTCTATAGCTTCTGCTATTTTCCATTATATTATGTGTTATAATATAGTAGCAGTGTTGCAGTTGTAATACAGTGTAGACTGTTGAAAAACATAAATTACGAAATTTAGCATTCACTGCCATTATTTACACTGAATAGCAGTCTGCAAATAGCAGTGCTATTATAGCTTCTACTGCTATTTTTTATCATCACTAAATCTCCGTGACACCGCACGATACGGATCGTCTGCCTATTACGCCTTACCAACCCGCAGCGCCTACCATATTACCGTCGGTTTTTATTAAATATTAAGTATATTGTATATTTTATTTTGTTCTTGTTTGTGACTATTTTCTGAAGAAACAATATACGGCTTCACGCCACTTTGTAATAAAACAAATCCTGTTCGTTCTTCATTTGATGCTCTACGAAGATAGTCGTTACAACTGGTTCCCTGGCAAGAATCAAAACCGGAGTAACTTTGTAAAAAGGTAAGAAAACCATTTGCTGACTTGGCTTTATTTTATTTTCTTTTTCAAATAAGAGTCAGCTAAGTTTACTTAGCCGTCCTGTGCTTCGAGTTATTTCAGTCACAGTTCGATGGTGACAGCAGTGAATTCCCCGCTCGGTTATAGATAAATTATCAATAGCGCAACAATTGTAGAGTTCCACTTCGTTAATTATTTTTAACACGCTTATATTAGTTTCACATGTATGTTTGTTGTTTGTGGTAAGTTTGTAACTCCACGTGGCACGTGTTATTATGTCGCGTATCCCCGTCGTGTATGATCTTGAGACTAGATTGTCGTAACGCATTCACCCCACCCCGTTCACCACTCACCGTAAAACAATATTTTCCTGTAAATTTTTATTTTTGGTTTTCGTACTCGTATGTGTTATCAATTATATATATAACAAATTTTAATGTGATTGACACGGCCCCGGGTCGTTTCGTTATACACGATGCCCCACGACTCGTGCCACCTTTATCAGCCGTTGCCCTATTTTATGAGTATTTGACTGATCAACACCGCGCGTTATACGTCACGGTGCAAAGTCCAGCAAGTGCCGCACGGCCGACGACGTCCCACCGCTAATGATACTGTAGTCTTCTTCCCGTTGTCAAAGTGACAATGTCAACAAACCGATCCGCACTCGCGCACTGTCGTCATTTACGCTGCTAACTTTATGACACGCTTTTAAAGCACATCGAACTAAAAAGTTAAAAATAATTTTTAAAATTAACTTAAAACAATAATGAACGAAAGATATTAGTATTATTGTGAAAAAAAGCGTGGGTGCTTTGTGCCATATTTTTTGTATATTAAGTGCCCGGCGCTTTTTTTCACAATAATACTAATATTTTTCGTTCATTATTGTTTTAAGTTAATTTTAAAAATTATTTTTAACTTTTTAGTTCGATGTGCTTTAAAAGCGTGTTTTTTAGTTTTTTTAAACTATATTTATTAATATTAACAAGTAGGTCACCGAGTATTTTGCCCAACCAATATTTATCGCGCGCGCGAGGTGACGCCGCTGATTCACATTACATTGCAACGACAGCGATAGACAGGTAGTAATAATACAGTCCGTATCAACGCATTCGTTATAGCATTTAACAACCGAGCTCCATAAAACCGTTAGTATTATTATTTCCGACCTTCGAAATCATAAAGATTTTAATAACGTCATTCCTATATAAAATCCATTATCTTAGTGCTATACTACAACAGTATCACAACAACAACAATAATAATACAAACGGCTGACACTGTTGACGTTCATACGCGAACACATATCGCGTATTCTCGCGATCGACGATATCGTATTTCCGAATAACAAAAACAAACAAGCGCTTGCGTTCTATTTATTTATTTTTGTTCATTTTACGCAAAATACGGTAAAGAACGTTCGCTATGGCAAGTAAAAAATTGTCTCAAATGAACCGTCGGGAATTATTGCGCGAATGAGTTTATAGACAGCTAAATGGACCCACGACGAAAAAAGCGATATACTAGCCGTTTTGAAGAATAGCTTACGCAGCGAAGGGCTAGACCCATCGAACGCGATTCTACCCGAACGCCCGCCGCTTCACTACGAGACGCTCGCGACGGAACGCGAGTCACGGGTAGACGACGCCCCCCCGCGCTACGCCGGACCAACCCGTTAACCTGGCGCTAGAGGATTCCAAGAAGTAGAGAGAGTGCTGTCCCGCAATACGCAGGAGATCCGGTCCCTCTCATACACAATTACAAGTTGCGATTTTAACAACGAGACTGTGCTAAATCCGTTCGCCACCGCTCAGATGACGCG